GCCCAGCCGCAGGCGCGCCCGGAGGAGCCCAGCGAGCAGGAGGCTCCTGAGGCCCGGGAGGAGCTTCCGAGCAGCCGAGGAGCTGAGCAGCAGCAGGCGGAGGAAGAGGAAGGAGGAGAAGGCAGCAGCACGGAGAGCACCCGAGACGAGGTGAGCGCCGAGGGCGACAGCCACGGGAGACCTCAGACTGACAGGGGCTCGAGCAGGTGGCCACACAGAGACAGGGAGAGACCGTGAGACGAACACAGCAACCTGGTAGAGAAGCTAGGAGGCCTTGAGAGACAGAGGGGACCCAAAGGGGGACCAGTTACAGGTGATGATCAGACAGGCGACACCCAGAGGCCAGACCCAAAGGAGACGGAGAGGAAAGTCAGAGATTCAGAGCCAGAGGGAGATCCGAAAACAAAAGGCAGACATACTCAGAGGAACAGAAATAGGGACGCAGGAAAAGAGAAAGAACACATTTTGAGAAATACTGCCAGAGAGAAAAGAGCCCCAGCGATTCAGAGGCAGGAGACAGAAGCCCAGAGACACTGGAGAAGAGAGAGACCTGAGTGAGGAGAGGGACAGAGATCTGATCTGGGGACCACGCGAAGATCACGCCGAGAGGGACTTGGACGAAGAGCAACACTAGTGGGCCGGAGGGTAAGCGGGCAGCACTCTGCCCCACCCCGACCTTAAGTACAAGCCCGAGACTGCTCCTGGGCTCGGTGGTGGAGTTGGGCCCATTCTGCTCCCTGAGGGGTGTGAGGGGTGGCGACCAAATTTATTTAGTAACTGCGGGGGTCCGCTTGACCACGTCCCCTCCAACGTCAGCCCGAGGCCAAGCCCCCTGTGCAGATGCCGGCCACGTCCCCCGCTCCGGTCCGGGCTAGGGAAGGGGTGCGAGAGACTGCGCTGCGGCTGCGAGGGCAGCAGCTGGAGGCGCTGACCCGTGTGGCCCTGATGGAGCAGCGCGTGAAGGAGCTGCAGCGTCAGAAGAAGGAGCTGAGGATCAGGGTGAGGCTGCGGGCTACTCGGGGGTCAACCCGCCAGGCCAGGCTCCCAGCCCTTCCCTCCCACAGGGTCGAGTTCTGGGTGCCCCGCTCCATCTTCTGCCCAAACCCAGACGCCGTCTGTGTCCTCCCTCGGCATGCAGGAGTTCAGGCCCGGGACGCGCTCTCCACCGCCCAGCCGCCCCCGACCGCAGCCCTCTGGAGCACACGCTTTGCTTTCTCCCGGCAGATGGAGGTGGAGGTGGCCCTGCTGCGGGGCGAGCTGGCTGGGGA